TAGTGTCATATGATTTACTTCTTTAATTTAGATTTTCTTCTCAATATTAATGTTATTTTAAATTTGTAAGGTTTATGAAAATATGGCAATAAAATCGATAAATAATTTATATATAAATAATAAATATATATTCAAATCCTATACAAATTATGAACCATTTATCTTCTTTATTAAATGATGTTATAAAACTTCATAACTATCATTTGTTTAGTGAAAGAAACATACAGATTCTGTACGCTCACTATTGATTCATTTTGTCAGTCTGCTTCAAACCAATTGCTTTATGGCAGGGTGTTGGGTGATAATGCCATAAGATCCGATTTTGGTTGGATCAGTGTGTGTTCTCTCGTTAAACAGCRAGTGTATCTAAACCTCCCTTCAATTATTTTTTATCAAAGTTTTCATGGTTTTTCTTAGCATCATGTATCTTTTTTTAAAGTTATTTTTTTTTATATTTACATTAAAGCATTTGTCATAGTATATATTATATATTATTACATTATAATATTGTATCATATTATGATGTTCCTTGAATTTTTGTGCAAAAAAAAATGTTCAGGGAGAATATTTGTAGATTAGTTAGCATAATAGCACCATATTTTGACCTTTTTAGCACAAACATATTGGCCTTCAAAAAACAAGTACCTATATCACTTTTAAAGTAATGAAATCCAAATTCACATTTTACTTTATTTGGTACCTAGTTTATATATTTTATACCTACTTTTTAAGACATTAAAAATATTTCAGTATCTAGTTTTAAAAAGCCAGAATGGTAAATGCTCTATATTGCCTCTCTCTCCAGGCTCCTAAGTTAAATAAAACTTTTAAATTATTATCTGTTCTTCTCATTTAAATTGTACCTAATAATTAATATTTTTTTATGAATAAATTTAATAAAACATCCTATATTAATATCTAATTGTGTAAGGTTTTAAGAATGACTAAGAATTTTATAGATTACTTTGCCATTTTACTTTCATATATTATGTATCAATTTGATCGACTAAATGTTTTTATATTATATAATATAATTTTATTAGTATTTAAGAGTTAATTTTTTATCATTTACCTAACAAAATTATTGATATTAAAGTTTGTAAAACTCTTCATACCTATTATCATAACATAATAAAAATGTTTAATCATCTTAGTGTTTTAATATTAAAATTGATAAGATAGTTGTTATGTTAATATTATAGAGTTTAATAGAGGTTCACCAAACTTGCTCACCCAGAATTTTTATTTAACTAATAAATTTATTCTATATGATTTTTGGAATTTTGAAGTTAACTTAA